CTTCTGGCTGTTGTACATTCCACCGCCATCTACCTTCCCTCCCCCAAAACGTAATACTGAATGAAGAGCTCAGAGGCGGCATACATAAAATCCTGCCACTTGGTTAGGAAATCCTACTTCTAAAATCATCCTCTTTTATTGGAGGATGAGGCTATTCTGTGGTTTGAAAGCAACTGGCACAGAAATGACTTGTAATTGCAAGCCATACACATAAAGCCTTTTTTTTTTTTTTTTTTTGAGACAGTCTCACTCTGTTGCCCTGGCATCAGCCTAGCTCACAGCAAACCTCAAACTCCTAGGTTCAAACAATCCTCTTTGCTTCAGTCTCCTGAGTAGCTCGGACTACAAGGACCTGCCACAATGCCCTGCTCATTTTTAGTAGAGAACAGGATCCTAACAGTAGCTAATGGTAGACCTGCTTGGATTACAGGTGTGAGCCACATCACATGGCCCACAAAGATGTTTTTATTGCACTAGGGAATAATCACCATTACTCTCCGGTTCATAGGCAACCTTACATCTCAAAAGATACTAATAATTCAGGGTGTCAAAAGAATTATTACAATTTTTTTCTTTAAAAGTATGGACCTTATTTCTTCTAAAAGATCAAGGATTCTTTTCTCACCCATTACTGGATCCCTTGCAACTTGCCTCATTTTATTGAAATTAAGTAATCTGGATAGGATGGTTAGTGATTTAAATAGGTAAAGCTCAGGGAGAAGTCTCCGTATGATACTCAGAATAGACAGACAGACAATGATCTCCAGGCATCAGCCAACACACACTAACTGTACCAGCTAGGAGGGGTGGGGCTAGTCACTCCAGGGAGCTCAGTACCAAAACTTTCATGAATCTTTAATGCTCTAATAGGTATCTCCAAGCCCTTTCTTCCTGAGCATTAAATATGTAAGATGCTCTTCCCTCCTACCACCGGGCAATCAAGACAGTGAAAAGCTAGGAAGTAGGCTGCATCCTGACAGCATTTCCTGGCGTCTCTCCCCCCAGTATTCCTCTTTTCCTTCTCTTGCTTCAAATCTTAGGAATGTTTCCCTTCATTCACTTTCTTGTCAACCAGCTGATGAAGAATGGGAGCAAGGTATCAGGAACGATGAAGTTTCCAGAAACTTCAGAGAAGAGATGCTGGCAAGAATTCATTTATTCATGCAAAAAAAATCAGACATGCTACACCAGGGCTGGTGATATGGAACTAAATAAAACATGATCCTTGGCTCCTTTTGTCCCTGGAATATCTGTTGTTGAAGAAAAGAGAGAACATATCATAAAGCCACGAGGGGCCGGTCTCTCGCCCGGCCTGGTACACGGTGAACATAATTCAAAGCTTATGACTAGTTTATAAGTTCATGACTTATAAACATTGTTTTTACTCATTTTTAAATGGAGTACTAGTCGGTAATAATAACGAATGGATTTCACCTAAATTGACAGTTCTTTTGATATAAGAATGAACTGCCACAGATAAGATTCAGCCACATTTTTTCAGGAGAAAGCTATTGAGACCAAAATGCTTTAGTTACATGATAAGGGCGGAATTACTCATAAGTCTGTTTACTGTAAGCCAAAGAGAAACAAAAGACATTAAATGTAGAATCTTGATTTCAGATTTCTATACCCTGGTTCTTCTCCATGTGTATTTGTGTATCTGCTTAGGTCAATGCCAGCTGTACCAGAAATCAGCATGTCTACAGCCCAGAGCTGGTTCATTGGTTTAGAAATCTTCCCAACCTCATGCTTTCTAATTCCCTCTCCATAGGCATCTGGCATTGTGGAGTGAAGTGAGCCAACGACAGGGTAAAAAGAGCAAAATGAGAAAATGATCAATTTTCCAAATATAAAAGAAAATGATGATGAAGATTCTCAGCCCTCTCTCTGAACAGTAACAGGAGACAAAAACCATTTCCACATAAACCCTTAATGTTCATACTCATCCACACACATAGTATCCACATACCACGCCAGATATTCTCATCCTTAGAAATGCACACTCCTAATATCAATGTTTATAAGAATGCGTAACAAAATACATGCTGTGCAGATATAAATACCCTGTAAAAATCCACAAAAAACATTCGGAGGCCCCAAAGAATAGAGGCATAAACAGATATGCAATTATAGGTTTTCCTCAGTAGAAAACACTGCAAGTAAATGGAGGTTTCAGTGAAGACACTGGAGGTAGGGGTAGGAAGTGAAAAAGAACAGAGGAAAGGTGCCCACGAGAGGACCACAAAATATCTATTGGAATCCTCTAAAAATATGTCTTCTTTGCAGAAGAATAGAAGAGATTAGCTCTGGATGGTAAAGGTCAACTCAGCTTTTGTGGTTTTTCTTCTGTAGCACTGACCACATTAAAATCCTGCAGCATTTCATTTTGGTTAACTGGAAAAAAAGAAGGAAACAAAAGAAAACAAAGCCAACTATTTGGACTGTGTCTAAATGCTTTAGAATACTTCAGGTTTCTATCAAGTACATTAATAATTGTTTTAGTTGGATGAAAAAGAAAACAACAAATCAAAAATAAATTACTGATAAACATGAAAAAGATAACACATGACAACAGAATTTTGGCAAAGGACATGTAGGCATGGAACTAATATAGTTTAAATATCCGTTTTCTCCTGTTCCTTTATTTATTACACCCAAGTTGTTCAGTGGGCACAGAGGTGTGCGCACCACACACACACACGCACACACATGCACACACACGCACACACACTCCACATTTTCTGGCTGTGTCCTTTGCTATTTGCTTTTTGCTCCAGCATAGAGTTTTAGATGTTTTAAACATCAAACTCTTTTGTAAACAAACTCTATCCTCTATCTCTGAAGCACAAAATTAAACAGTTTTGACCCCAATAAAGAGGAAAAGCATTTAACAAACATTTCTCCTCCAGTTAGATGAGTAGGCTCTGCTACAAGACGGTTTACTTGCTCTTTTGATAAATCAGTTAACGGAGGGGAATGAGTTGTGTTTTTTTTGTAAAGAGTAAAGTATTAACTACTATCCTTTAGACATACTTCCTTATGTCTAATACTGGAGGGTAAAACCAGCTGACAGGGCATTTCGGGCATTCTGTTCCTCCACGCGTTTGCTGTGCTGTCTGCGAGCTCTAATCTAAGATCTGTCCATATGCATCCTCCTATTAAACAGAGCAGCCGGTATTCATGCTGAGAGGATTATAAACACGCTCTAAAGCCAGAGTCTAAAACCTAATGGGCCCCAGTGCTGTCTGTGTGCATCAACATGGCTCAAATAGCTGCAAGTTGTAATGTGTTCCCATCAACAGAAAAAGGGTGACATTATGTTATGTGAAGCTGTACCTTGTAAGAGTTACTTAGACTCCAGATATGTAGCAGTCAGATAGCCCCTAGGGACAGGTTCTTCTACTAAGCAATAAAAGTAACTTTGGTTGTTTTCATTTTCAAGAGGTTATTTAACACTTGGACATGTACAGCACCATCGATTCTAAGGAACTCCACATATTTCAAAGTTAGTGGCTTTGATTCTATGAATGGGTTCACATCTAATTCAGCATTGTTTAGAAAAGACCATTACTGGCACTTGGAAGTTGTCAATGTCCAAAACAACAATTCACTTGGCAAAATCAGTGACTGTGGGTGAAGAAATAGTACCCATATTTTAAGTAACAAAAATCTGAGGCAGTTTCAATGCCTTCTCCATGCAACCGGGTGGTTCTAAGATATTTATCTTCACTGCTGCTGCTCGAACCTACCAAAGAATAGCTCCAGACAGTGGAATAATGAGCCCAGGAAACCTGGGGAACTCCATCTCAATTTAAGAACACAATTTACACCCAGAAAAAAATGGGGAAGCCTTTGTGTCTAGGCAAAAAGAAAGTGGCCAGAAGTTCAGCTGCTCACTGAAGAGCATCCACTGGTGTGAGGTTAACCAAGGTCCCACCTAAGTGAAGCAAGGGGAAATCAAAGCACACTGACTTCTATGCTCTTTGATTGCCGAGAGCCAACACGAGAGCAAAAATGCCACACAACCACAGTGACAGCAGTCCTCTTTCTCCGGATTATCCTGTACGTATGAGGAAAACCAGACCTTTGAAATGATTAGCAAGAGAGAGGCATGTTTCTACATATAATAAGCACACACCACCCTTCCCCCCAGTGCACATCTAGAACATTAAGATACCTTATAGGAAATAAAAGAATCGCTTTCAATTGTAGTTGTGATATGATCTGATTTAAACGTCACACCCACTACATACTTTAGTCTGTTCATTCACCTGACTGGTCACTCTATCAGGGTCATCAGGCAAAGCTGAATCTCCTGATTGCAAAGCCTTTCAAAGACTCCCCTCCTACTTGGGACCCACCCACTCAGCCTGTGAATGCCTGGCTGGGCCTCTGGGGGAGCAGGGTCAGCTGCGGCAGGGTCCTCCTGCTGTCACCATCTGGGCCTAGGCTAATGGGCTTCCTGGGCAAAAGCCTCCCTTCTCCTGGTCCGTAAAGGACCTTTCTTTCTTTTTAATCCTGTGCCCAAAATGAGACATGCTGCAGGACTGTTCTAAGTACAAAAAGCAACAGATGGGAAAGCATCTGACTTTTGCATAGGGACAAGAAAAAAAAAGCAAACTGCGGAAGTGAGTCGTCCCACCAGCATCTCTGGCGCTCGGTTCCCAGGGCCAGCTGCTTCCTCCCAGCAGGCAGGAGGAAGTCTGGCCCTGATGTTACTGGCGTCTCCGTCTATTTGGCCACTTGTGTCTTCCTGGTAATGATGGCACCCAGGCTGTCTGACTGACTAAAGCCTGCTGCTGGAGAGTGTAGAGGGGACAGGAGGAAAACAGGTGAGACCACGGGATGACAATGACAGCTATGGCAGAGAAACGTCAGAATAGCAACAAAAGGGATAATCTTGTCCCACAGACTACCGTCCTGGGGACTCAGAATTCAATAAAATAGTACTGAATATTATGGTAAACAAAGAGAAATAACAAGTGAAAAAGCTGTTCAGTAGTACAGATCTCTTCTCTCTGTGTTAGGGTTGAGGGATTTCTACTCAGAGTCTACAAATGTTGGTCTGCACAGCCATGAGAAAGTCGAGAAGCTGCCTCCTCCTGAGATTCTCTGGTGCATGTTTGATTCAACGCCAAGGGAAATTCAGCATTAACACAATGACATGGTGGCTAGACCCTGGCCAGACCCTTCCCTCCCCGCAGCACCGCTCTCTCCTCCAGGCAGACCTCAGTTCTGCTTGACATCCTTCTGAGGCTGTCGTTTTGTGGTCCCTAGGTTGTTCCACACCTCTGTGTACATTAAGGTCCCGATGAAGACAAACAGGGTGCCCAGCCAGTGCCACAGAGTGAAAGGGTTCTGGAAGTACAAGATGGAGAAGATGAGGCTGACGAACTTGCGCAGGGTCATGACGAGCGTGACAGTGAGTGAGGCGCACTCGGTGGTGAGGATGAACACGCCTCGGATGCACACGTACCTGGAGGGGAGGGGTTAAGGCGGTTTCGGTACCGTGTGCTTGGGGAATCCGTGGGGACGCTGAGTCTGGCATGGCTGTCAGCTTAAATTTCCATTTTCTAAGAAAACATAAGGGCCACGAGGGTCTGCCGTGGCTTCTCGGGGGCTGTGCTCCTCAGTGGATAACCCCCGCTTCCCCCTGCCGAGTTCCTGTCCTGCGATTCCATTTGGGATCCTGAGAACTGCTAAAAACCTCCTATTAGGCTTATTCTAGATTCTTCCCACAGTTTCCAAGGGAGGTCACCTCTGAGGTAATGACAGAGGGTGACACTCTTGGGAAGGGTGATACTATCCACATTTATTTTACCTTGGTCTCTGCCCTCTGCTCCTCCCCCTAAAAGGAACTCTGTATGCAAATTGATCAGGTGACTTCAGAGAAATAAGGCCAATCTCAATCTCTTTCACTATTTCAAAGACATAATGATTTTCATAATCAATTAAATATCATTCAAAATAACCATTTAAAAAAACTAAGTCTTGATTAATTTGAAATTCTTTCAGAACCATGTGAAAATTGGAAATATACTAGGATACCAAAACACCCCAAATTGAAGTCACAGATCATTCACATTGTATACTAGTTTTTAGTCAACCCAAGGACTCCTGTACTTCCACCCAGAGCATTTCATTCTGCTGCCCTGGGGCTTCTGACCAATTGCCCTACTACTCTGTCCTTTGCTCTCTACAAACGAGCTCCCTGAATGGGTCTCTTTGTCTCTGCTTACTGCAGGAAAAATCCAGGCAAAAACCAAAATCAGGGCAGCACCTGTGGCTCAAAGGAGTAGGGCGCCAGCTCCATATACAGAGGTGGTGGGTTCAAACCCGGCCCTGGACAAAAACTGCAAAAAAAAAAAAAGAAAACCAAAATCGTGTCACTGTTCTCCAAAAGAAAAAAATAACCCTGTGCCAAATTAACCTGGAGAAGACACACACCTGGCAGAGGAACCCAAAGGATACTGAGTGATGACGTTCATGAGAAGGTAGAACCACATGATGGGCATCGTCATCCCGAGCACCGGAACTTGATACAACTCTGCAACGATTAAGACAGGATATGGACAAATCATTTTGGACAGCAAAAGTTTTCATCTTTTGAACAAGGTTACCCAGACTGCACCTAATATGGGCAGCAAATGTTATCTCCCCTGCAGAGAGATTTGAGCCACAAACCACCATACTTGCCTTGATTCCAGCCTGTATCAGCCATAAGAGTCATTAAATTGATTTCTTAAAAGAAAAGATAACTTGTTCAAATTTTTAAATAAACTCTTCAGCATTCACCTGAATCAGGTCTCACTAAATAAAAAAAGACTGAAGCACAGAGAAGTTCAGAAAAGTATCGGCTTAACTGGAAATCCACACAAGATGAGGCAGACAGACAGGACCTCAACATCACTCGGAAATATGTTCACTCTTCTTAGTAACCAAAGAATTACAAATTAAATTAGATTATACTGTTTTATATCTACTAAATTAGCAATTCAAAATCTACAAAAATATTCTAACTGGCACGTGGTCGTAGAACTGGCAGCCATTCCTTTGGTAACGGTATGAATTGGAATTATTCTTTTAAAAATAAGTTTCATAATCCTTCTTGAGGGACCATAAAAATATTCATAACCATCCTTAGTAATTAATCCTAGATAATTCAAAAGAGTAAAAAAAAGGTCTGCATTCATTGCAGTACTGGTCACAAAAGGAAAAACTATGACTCATAATCAATAGATGTCAGAAAATAGGGCAATGGCTATGTCAGCAAAGGTATTATAATTAGATGAGGCATTATATATTCTATACAAACAAAATCATAGAGATCGTATAGTCACATGAAAAAACTCAGAGTAGAAGTGAAAAACAAATATAAAATTATATCTACACAAGGATGACAGCTAAGTAAGAATTACAGCCTTGGAAGAAAACCAGTGAAATGAAATTAGCAGACGTGTAGGCCAATAGAACCGTGAATAACTCTTTCCTCTAAAGATATTCTTATGTTAGTTTTATATAATGAGAGTGGTACACTAAATATTTGGGAGGAAATAAAATATCTAAGATCAAAGAGAATAAGGACATAGTAATCCTCAAGGGGTCAATTTTTTTTTTATTTTGCTAAATTTAGTGTTTGAATTATTAGCATAATTTAAGCAATTCTGATAAAGTGATGCTGAGATCTGTCAAGGAAATAAACGTTAATTTTCTTTTGCCAAAAATGTCACACACACACATATATATACATATATACATAAAAACTAAATCTTGTAACTGTGTTCTTGACCAGTGGGTAATGCCTATAATCTTGTATTTCACTGTCTTTGATATACTTAGCAAGTATTGACAGGAAAAGGAAGTTAAGTGTGATTACTCTTAAATAACTTCAGGGACCCACAGTTATCAATTTATTGAGAAAAACACAATCAGCATGACATAAAAAATACTCACATGGATTTTAACTCTCTTGGAAAATACAAGGGTCTCAGATATTTAACCTCAAGAAAATCCAGAGAAGGAAAATGTATATTTAATTTGGGGATGATTCTGAAGAAGATGAAGGCAGATTCTGAGAAAATGTTTTATCTATAAATACCTAGCCCTGTGACCTTTAGAAGATGCATTCTTTACCAGATTTTCTTACTGTAAATCTATCCAGTGGAATTTGATAATATTTTTATTTTAATAGACTTTTTCTAGGCAGGGATTCTCAGAGATCTTAAAAAATGGCTGTGTTAAGAATCAGAAATGATTCTCTGAGTAATTCAGAGCCTTACAAACTTCCATCCGCACTACCTGCTTCACATTGTTTTTTCTTGGACAAATGGGAAAGGTAACATTACAAACGCCAAGAGCACGTGTAACTTTACAGTTCACTCTCAGACAGCAAATTAATGTTTGTGGAGCACCTCCTGTCATTCTACCAAACGTGCTTACCATTCAAGGAGTGTGCCACATAAAGCCTTGACCTTAAAAGTGATTATCTGCTCCTTGTGTGTTCATTTGTCTGTATAACACTCTATATCTATTAGAGAATCAGATTATACAAATGATTTTATTCACATTAACTGACAACCTATAGCTAATTTATTAAATGGCCACTTAAAAGAGTAATAGCTAATTTACTCTAGACCCTTGAAACTAATTTTGCTTATTCCTGCTGTCTACCTAATCTGCACTAAGAGAAAAGCCCTGCCATCATTTATTATATTCTATAGCTCCCCTCTTGCTCTGCTTCAAGCCTGCTCAGGCCGGATCTACAAGCAGCTCTATCTTTCATGGCAGAAAAGGCTGAACAGCAGCAGAGAGAGCTGGAAGGCTGCCCACCTTCACAGAACTCATCTCAGCAGCGTGCCATTACTATTTGTTTGCATTTGCAAAATATCAAATATTCCACACTCAAATGCAAATATAAATTCCAAAGCAAAATAGAAAATTTGAAGATATTCTCTTACTTCACTTGCAAATAACTGTGAGAAGCACCTACAAAAGCTTTTCCTGCTGCACCTGCTGATTAATGGCACTGTATTCCTGTGCCGGAGTGCAGACAGTTACAAGAGGGAAAGACGATTTGGGTAAGATCATGAAAATTGCTGTGATCAAGTCAAGAGTGAAACTGAGACTTCGCTGCAGACACTGTCAGGTAATCCTGCCACATAACCACAAACTCACCAGACTTATTGAATAGAACTGCATGGTCATAAATATCAGAAGCCAAGAAGATGAAGCCAGGAAGCGGAAGGGCGTGCTATGGGAAGAAATAGGTCACATAAATTTAAGCGCAAAAACATATTTAATAATTAGAATAGCTTTACAATGAGCAAAAGTTGTACAAGTTGTTTGACAAGAAATATCAAGGAAAGCAATTAGACTTAAATTAAATGTACACAGTGCTTCTGGCCACTGGACATTACATGATATATCAAACCCATCACAGATAAGCAAAAAAATGGAGCCAGCCTCCTTTCTTTGACAAAAGGGAATGGAGAAATTTAAACACATAATCATTCAGCCCAAATGGATTTGTGACATTTTATAATACTATTTTTGAGAAAGGTTAGGTAAACATATTAGATTTAAAACTATAGAGAATGCAAAAGCAGCATTCAGGGGATTTAGGACACTAGTGGGAAAAGACATTAGAGGATAATCTGAAGTTAAAGAAAAAGAAATGAAGACATAGGCTCGGTGCCTGTGGCTCAAGTGGCTAAGGCGCCAGCCACATACACCTAAGGAGACAGGTTTGAATCCAGCTGGTGCCCACCAAACAACAATGACAGCTGCAACCAAAAAATAGCTGGGCGTTGTGGCGGGCACCTGTGGTCCCAGCTACTTGGGAGGCTGGGGCAGGAGACTCGCTTGAGCCCAGGAGTTGGAGGTTGCTATGAGCTGTGAAGCCACAGCACTCTACCTAGGGGGACAGCTTGAGGCTCTGTCTCAAAAAAAAAAAAAAAAAAAAGAAATGAAGACATAAATAAAAACAGGTTAAAGAGGAGGAAACAAACAAAGATTAAGGGGCTTGACGACAACAACCCAACACCACTGCCACCTCCCCAACAGTGATAATGAGTCACGGCTGACATCTACTGACCAATTAACATGTGCCAGGCTTTATATAAACAAAACTGTGAATCAAATACAATGTTTAATTTTAAAATTCCCAGCCACATACTGTAGCTCCAATTAAATATTTCAAATTGCTTATTTGCAACTTCAGTGCTAAAAGCTGGCAGCAAAGTCACCCCTAGGGTGACTGAACATGGAGGCAACTACCTCTCCCTAACTTTGAGGGGCAATGCTCTGGTACATCTCAATGGGACAGGGGAGAGAGAGGGAAGCTAGAGGAGGTGGCACTAGATCAGCAGTTTAAAGCAGTTTAAAGCTCTATCAAACGAATAAAGCCCATCGGGGGGACTTACTTCTCTCACCCCATTCTCCGCAGACTATCCCACAGGATGCCTGGCTACACACATTCCCCTTGGGATGCTGCTTTTAGAGCTTAGTTTCCTTTTCCAGGTTTCCAAGTTGCTTTTGACCTGACTTCATTGTAAGAACATTGCAGGTAAAGGTTTCTAGTCCCTTGAGGTTTTCCCCAGTTAACTGATACATTTATTCATTTTGATTGATCATGATCATCTTGTGTAGAGAGGACCGTAGCTCAGAAAGCACATTATCACCCTACCAACAGTACTTCAGTCTACCGGCCTCAAAGTCCTTTACTGATAATACACTGATCCTTCAACGGCATCAGAAGGATGGCATATTTCACTTGAAATAACATACTATAACTCAGGAATTTTCATCTTCCCCAGGTTTAAGAAGTTGCTTACATTATAAAACAAAGCCTCCTTGGAATGTTTCCCAAATTGTTTGTATAGAGTCTCTTGGAATATGCCCATCCTTGCTGACATCAGAAGGGCAAAAGTCAGTGCCCCAATACCTAAAAAACAAACATCAGGTTATAAGATGCCTACATTGGTTAATTTCCAGATGTTTTCTTAAAGAACATTTATTTATTGCTTTAAGTTCTATAAATACTACAAACTTAATGTAGTATACAAAATTATTAAAGAAATAAAAATCAACTACAGCATTACTATCCAATCCTTTACAGTTTTCTACATCTGTCTAGATTTATTTATGTAAAATATTTTTTTATACTAAGACAAGATCAGATTATACATACAATTATATACCTTGCTTTTTTCATGATCTTTTTTCATGGATTTTTGCCTTAAAATCATTCATTAATTTTTTCATAGGTTTGCTATAATGACTGTATATTACTCTATCATGAGTATGCCGCATACCTAAATGTCTTCTAATAAAAGAACGGTTAGGTTAGTTCCAATTATCTCACCATCAAAATCAATGTATATCCTTATATATAAATCTTTAAACAAATGTTGATTATTTCCTTAGAATAAAGGCTCATAAGTGGAATTACTGAGTCAAAGGCTGTGGCAATTTAAAAAATTCAATACACATTATTTTTCCAGGAATGCTGTGTCAAATTATACCCCAAAGAGTTTATATAAAAATACTTGTCTTACTCACCGTCAAAGGCAATAAGAGTAGCCATTTGTCATTTTGCCAATATGATAAGCCAAAAATAAAAAGGCAGTGCATTTTGGTTTCAACCTGTATTTCTTTGATTACTAGACTAGTGAGGCTGAATATAAACTTATTGGACATTAATTTTCCCTGTGAATTGTATGTCCATATCCTTTGCAAATTTTTCTCATTGGGTAAGGTATTTTTCTAATAGCTCATAATGATCTTTCTATGCTAACAGTAACAACCTAAAGGGATAAAGTTTCAAAAGTAAGAAGCAAGGAAAACACATTGCTGTTTCTCTTCCACTTGGTCAGTCTCAATCTGTTATCGTTACCACCAAAAGCACCTGAAAAGAGCTTCTCCTCTATGTGAAAAAATAGGAGAACAAAGCTCTGTGGGAGTTGCCTAATGAATTCCACAAAGAGGTATTTGTATTTTAAAAAGTTCCCCAGAAGGTTCTGATGATCAGTCAGGTGTGGGAACACTGCCATATGGAAGAAAATAAATCTAAGATTTACAAATGAGTCCCTTGGAAATGTAAAGGGTCAATTGCTCTAACGTGCCTCTCTTCTGCAGGAGCTTCAACTCAGCAGACAGACTGTGAAGCGATGGCGACACCCCAAGCACTGCTCTCAAAGGCTGTGATGGGAAAGTGGACATGTACTTTTCTGTGGCTACCAAGAAAAACATGGAACCATGTTGCAGAGCACACTGCCGTGGACACGGATATTCTTTTTTTTCATTTCTTGAGCACTAAGGTTCGATGATATATGATCTCAGCCAGGTACCTCGCTCTTCTATGGTATAATTTGTTTAGCCAAAGCTTCTTGCCAAGAAACATGTCTCTTAGGAGAAAACTCCACAAACACAACTGCAAAGGCAATTAGCTTTATTATAATTACTGTACTTGCCTAGTAACCACCACGCAAATGCCTGGAATCCATCATTCTCACTCAAGCTGGACTGGGAAGTCTAGGAAATAAGAAAATAAACTAGGTACAGAGACCAGACCACAGGCAAGGTGCCGAGATACAAGGGAAATATTTATGTTACCCATTTCCCTCCACTCTTTGCTTTCAGAATCCTTATATTACAAAAGGATTTGAATTTGTTCTATTATTAATAAGTGCCTGATAACTGAGCCCCAAAGGCAAGTAGTGAATATAAATGATTTGTGAGCTGATTCTTACCACCTGTTTTGCTGACATGAAAGTGCAAATAAATATCCCCACAGACACCAGGGCAATGGAGGTGTATTTGAATATACTGTATCTGCAAAAATAAGAACAAAAACACTTTAGGAAAGCACAGATATGAATTTCCAAGTGATAATTACAGCCAGATGGTGCATGGAAGTACAGATCACTAACATATGACTGAGAGGCTCACTTTCCAGCAGAGTCCAGGTAAGTATATACACGGAGGAATCAGGATAACTAACGGCTGGTTTCTAAACAGCACTTGTCCTTGGTGTTGTTTAAAATAATGTTTCCAATAGTTTGTTGACCAACAGATTATTTCATTGGAAAACAAAAACAGAAACAGATACAGACCAGATGATGCTCCAACCTGCTCTCCAGAGGCCACATGAAAGTCTGACCTACACTTAACTGGGATCTGTTGCTCTTCCTGTCTTTAGGGGGCTCTTATCAGTCATAAGATATGCACGTTCAAGAAGAAAAATGGACTATCAAGTACAAATAGCAGGATTCCACATTCAGAAAAAATCCAAATCATCCATCCTCTGAGCAGGGTATTAAAAAAAAAAAAATCTCTGAAAGACTTAATGTTGTTTTTAAATGTTGACATAACTGGATAAAGGGAAGCATATTCAATTCATTGAACCATGGGCAGTGATAACAGTGGCATTTCACATTAACTTAAATAGCATCATTAATATTCCTCTCAAATTCTTCAAAGAAGAAGGTCTGAGGAAAGACCTTTCTGAATTAAAAGAAATTCAGCTTAGAAGGTGAAGAGCTGAAATACTTTACTCAAATACATAGTTTTATTCTGGTTATAGTACCTAATAAAAGGCCAGTAGAACTGGGTAAGAAGTAGAGAAAAGGATGAAAAGGACCAAGAGGCTCATGCTAGAGGAGAGGAGTGGTGGAGGAAGGAGGCACTACTGGAGGTAGATATAAAAAATAATGAAACTCTGGAAAGTCAAGATGCAGAGGCTTACAACTCAGGCCCCCAAAGACTGAAAGGCCTGGTTAGGGTGAATATAAATTTGGTCCTCACATCTTGGAAAAAGGAGCACACTATGAACTTGAGGGCCTTCTACCCAAGATAAATAAAAGAAAATACTAAATTACCCATGCACTCTATTGAATAGTTAACTTATGAAAACGCCTGCCTGCTCTGTGGGTGGTACACACAGGAAAAAAAAAGGATTCATAAGGCCTAGATAGATAGATTCAAGATGACAGACTCAAAACAAGTTCTTAAGGGAAAGAGGTGTTTGAGAATTTCTTTTCTAATATGTTCTTTTGTATCTCTGTTATGGGTCTGTGGGAAGGACCACAGGTCTGTCCCAAGGGGAAGTCTACACTACCAAGAGGTACAATGTTTGCTCCAAATGTGGTACAGCTGACCACTGTACATGTACATTAAATGCAGAGAACTGAAGAAGGAACAGCCACAATGGTATTTATCAGTAAGACAGGACAATTGGCTTTTTATGACACAGCCCTTATTACTTAAAATCTCTAGGTTCATACGTTCTGAATTGACAGCCACTTTCCAGGCTAGCAGACAGAGTTCTAATACTGGGGTTGGATACTGAATACCTTGAAAAGTTGCCATCAACTTGTATAATCTTGGTCTTAACGGTGACAGTGAACTTGCCCTGAGACATTTTCTAGACTATGTATGCTGTCTCTCCCCAGTGTCCTTCCTTCTCAGAAGGGGTAAGGCTCAAAATGAAGGTGGGAAAAAAAAATACTTTTGAGAAAGCATTCTAGGTACTCCTGGTATTTCCCACCCCTGCCCCAGAGACAGCCTTTGGTGACAGTCACAAAGAACAGTTCTGAATCTTTCATCCCATCTTCTTGGCTATTTAAACCCTTGTTAGGAATTTTCTTTTGAATACAAATGGGTCACTACACTGTACTGATAAGCACCCTCTAGGACAGCACCACCCCACAGAGTCTGGGATCCTGGAAATGTTCCTTATCTGGACTCTCCAACATGGTACCAGTAGCCTGAGCTGGCTGCTGAGCATTTGAAATGGGACTGAGATTGAGAAATTAAATATTCAAGACTACTATTTTTAATAATTTCATTGTAAATGTAAATGTAAATGGAACATGTGGCCAGTGGCACCCATACTGCACAGTGAAGTTCACAGGTTAGGATGATGACATTCAATGATGATGGAGCTAATCAGTTCTACACAGAGAAAAGCCTTCTCCAAAGCCCCAGGCAGGGCCTTTTTCCTGGTCAAACAGCCTCAGGAAATTGCTTCATTGTGCACCACTGTCACAGGAAGAACTGGGAAAAGAGGCAGATGACCAAGAACTAACTTATCAGCATTCTGGGAAAAAGAATCCAGACACTAGCTTATGGAAGGCGGCTCAGGCCATCCTTCTATACCTAAAATATAAAAGTATATCATTTACCTTTTCTTCAAAATGATAATTCCGAGAATCATGTTAGCAATTAGAGAACCCTGTAAAAGATAACAACAGTAACAGTTTCAGTGTACTAGGGGAGGACAGTAACACGATCCAAGATGAATATGAACACAGACAAAGGTAAAACACGTGGAATGAAGGAGGCTAGGATGAATAATTAATGAGGTGCAGTTGTCCTCATCATGGCAAAAAGTATAGGTCATAAAAATATATCATGCAAATAACAAAAGCTTTTAAAGATGATAATGACAATAAAATGACTAATTCCCAGTAACTGGTCATAGTGGAAGGTAGGGTTAGCAGAAATAAATGACATCATAGACTGACTTTTGGCAAATTTTCCATCTATCTAATTTATAAGAGCTTTTAATAAGCTTTTCCCCACCCCAGTTTTAATCTAGGAAGCCATGCAAGAATATTTCTCTTCTCTGGAAAGGTGTCACCCAATCAACAAGTGTTTATCAAAGTCTACTACGTGTTCAATGCTTTGAATGTCATCTTAATAATTATAATTAGCACTGGAAAGCCCTTCAGGAATAGCACAGTCAATCTCACAAATATCTCCGACCACTCGGAATGTTATCATTTCAGTTATCACCCATTTTCATTCTTCTGCAATCTTAACTACATTCTCCTGGAAGTCCTCCCTCCTCTTCAGGGAGCACCCTATTCTTATTTACATACACACAGACCTCTCATCATACATTAGGCAGAGAAGAAAACCTGTACTGCTTTGGGAGAGAGCCTACCTTCGTAAAGAATTTCCCTTCATTACCTCAAGTTTCTGCTTAAAAAAAATCAGAAAAGAGAAGTATCTATTTCATGTACTAGAAGTAAATGTAATTTTATGGAAGAAAGAAGTGGTAAGAAGTTAAATAACATTAATAGCAAATTTGAACATAAAATGAACCAGATGAAGGAAATGGACATTTCCGTCCAATGTTCCCATGGACATTTTGATTTTCTTATTCTTAATTACCCATTAGGCATCAGATAAATAAAAGTAAGCCATCCACTTTCAGATTTTTCTCTTTTTGTCTTACCTCTCAGATGAAAGCTGATCTTGCTTACTCATTCACAAAACTATTTATACACCCTAGACTTCATTTATTACAAGACCTTTCTCCTTTTGCCATGTATTCAATTTACCTACTTAAGTATTATTGTTCAGAGGAACATAACGCATGTGAGCTGGCAGCACTTACAGATCTAAATATCATATGCAGAGGCATGGCGATGTTGAGATTCAGGGCATAGTTGTTCACCACGCTGACGGTGAAGAACATGGCTACCATTGTAGCATAGTACCTGAAAGGCAGAGGAAACAGCACATCACACAGAATCTACTATTTTGAGAAAATAAAATATAGAAAGAAATATGTATTTCTGCTTAAAAAAGCATTTTTCTTGCTTTCTTTGCATTAAAAGATTGCATCACTCTTATGAAATCAAATACTAAGTACACATAAAAACGCTTCACAAAGCCTAACGTGGAAAAGGTTTGAATTATAGAATGTTTAAAAAATACTTTTAATATTTTTCAAGTATACACAGCAACTTAAAACTAAGCTTTAAGAATGTTACCTAATAGTCATCAGTAGTTTTTTTGAGTGGATGGTTTTTCATTATTGTATCAGTTTTTTGCATATAATTTTCATATACCTTTGAAGGACGTGAAATGGGTTAATTATCTCAAATATTTCTTGTATAAACGTGTTATACTATAATAGTATAGCAATACTATACTATTGCTTTTCACTATTTCTAAAGAAAAGATTTGCTAAGTCAAAGGTTACTTTCAGCCTAGCAACTGTTAAAATTATCCCATATTCTGAATCAGTGGCCTCTGAATTAATGAGGACATGATTCAACTTGTATATGTTATGCAAAACCATGGTTCTTATTTTCTGAGAATTTATAGCTCTCAAAATAAGAACAAAAACTAAAAAAAAAAATCCAGTAACACTAATAATTTAGAAAGATAAAGGGATAAATACAAATGAATACTTATGAACAGATAAATGAATTAAACAAATAATTTTACAGTTATATATCCCTATTGTGATATAGAAAATATGTAAGATACTTTTTTACATATTAGGTTAAACCATATAAAACTGCCATTTTTTAATAGGTCAAAAAATGTTAAGTATCAGCAATTTTATATGATTCAACTTACTATATTCAATAAGAGAAAAAATATTTAAAATAAATGGCTAATGAATATAGCTCAAAGGCAAGTAGGTGGTCCCACATGCTTCAGGAAATGCTGATCTTTGAGCAGATTCCCAACCATCTTCCACCTCTGCACATCTGAGGAATATGACAGTGCTGAGGCCCAAGTTATCATCCCTAAAGACCCAATCTGCGCTGCTGGTTAGATTTCACGCTACACACCAAAAGGAGCCAATCCAAGTCTACATTAACATAGTCTAGAAAGTTTGAGAAGCCTGACAATGAATGCAGAACTCAATATGTCATACATGAAAAATTACTTGCAACAGCTTCTTCACTTCTAAGTAACATACTATTGGTGACTTCACAAAGTTTCTTGCCAAATTTTCTGTCCTGTCTTGAAGAGGTGCCATTTGAAGATAAAGTGAGTTAGTGTCAAAGTCTTTCAGGATAACTGATTCAGTTATTCTGTGTTGCTGCCTACATAGCACTGCCTAGAAACTGTCTACGGGGATGAATGACATGAATAAGATTCTGATTATGGAACATACAGAAAATACAGAAAATAAAACAGTCATCACACACAGGACACACATGGGAGGATGCTGCTACGGGGAGCCGTGAAGCACATGCTGGGGAGTTTGGACTTTATCCTGAACATCGTGGTCACCACTGAGAAGGGGGGAGGGTGACGTGATAAAATGGGAGAAGAGGAAATGGAAGGATGAAGAGGTAGGAGGCAGAGGGGCCAGCGAGCTAGATAGGGTGACAGGGAAAAGAGGGAATGGGGAAAGAAGGTGAGAGGAGGTGGGAGTCAAAAATTGCTGGGGTCTCCTGTGGTGATATAAATGCTGGTCTTTAGCAGCAGAAAATTTTATGCAGATACTAAAGCCAATGACAGAGAAAAAAAAAATCAGGATATTTACCATTGCATTAGGAAACTTAAAACGTGGAAAATCCAGCCACGTTTTCTATAGCAGCCTGTTCAGGAACACCAACACCAACAAGGATGAGCCTTAACTTTAGTACTTGGATACATTCACATCCAAATGGCTCTCTCAAAGGAAGTAAGAGACACTACCCTACTAAAACTCACAAATGGATGAATTGCACTTTTTCTTTTTTTTGAGACTGAGTCTTCACTGGGCTGCAGTGCAGTGGCATCATCAAAGAGGCTTTAAAGAACTCAGGTTCAGGCCATCCTCCTGCCTCAGCCACCTGAGTAGCTGGGACTACAGACCCCTTACCATTCTACCTGGCTAATTTTTCCATTTTTAATAGAGATGTGGTCTTGCTATTGCTCAGGCTGGAACTCCTGAGCTTAGGTGATCCTCCTTCAGAGTGCTCTGATTATGATGGCCTGGATTATACTTTTATCTCAAGACTCTCACAGCAGGAATGCTGAGTTTTCAATGTATTGTTTATTATAAGAACTGCCCTGTTTTCCATTTGGCCTCAGGAGTACAGTTATGCAAATTCGGAATAATGGACAGAGATCTGCCATCAACAATTTTGACCCAGCTTGCCACTCCTGTTTTTTTTTTTAATTAATATGAAATTTACATAACAACCAATTAACCATTTCCAAGTGGAATAATTCAGTGGCATTTGGTATATTCAAAATATTGTATAACTTCCACCTCTAATTATGTGCCAAAGAGGTTTACTTTTAAAAAGGAACAGTGATACCATTCTTAGCATGTTTGATAACTTTACCAACACAGAGGACAGCAACACAATTACGAAAAATTTGGAGTCACACTAGGCCTTCTGACTTACCTTATTCTATATACTCTCTCTCTATCGTGTCCATCAAAGTTATTTTAAATCTTGTGGCAGGAATTTTATTCTAAAAATAGGTTCTCTGCAGTTTTGCAACATATTAACTTCAGAAAATGAATTATTTTACTGATATCTTTGATATAAATCTTATAATAGAATGTATCATACTCCTTTTATACAGGCATTACCTCTGAACTAAAAAAAAAAAAAGGTAAAAGACTCCGGTGTGCCATACCTTATGGGGATAGCTGGTGGCTTCCTTCCTAAATCAGCTTCAAAGAGGAAGCCTTCCACAGCAATAAATAAAAACTGTGCGAATGTCACGATGTTCCCACATCCTGGGTGCTTCCTGTATAGTGAATAACAAAAAGGGGGCGGAAAGGCATAAAAACTGAGCTGAAGGGCACTAAAATGCATTCTTCAGAACAACAGGGAGGATAGATTTCTACTACCCACTGTCCTTCATGTTGGTTTTCATACCCCATGGATCACACACATTTACGTTTACCTCACAGGGAAAGATGTCAGCTTCCTTATTTCTCTCTTCCCTAGGTGTAGCAGGCCATGAGGAAGAATTACTCTGACATACTTATTCCTAGAACTATGATACAGCTTTCCTAGTAAACTGCAGGAAACTGGTCATATGTCCTGGTTGGGATCTTCCCTTCACCAAAAGGCCATTCTCTAGTAACGACCCTAGTCAGTCAGCCTAGGTAGCAAAGCTGGGACAGATAAATGCTCAGGTCTTCTGGAGTATCTATCCCTCCTGACCAAGAGTCGCCGAGACTGCTTTAAATGAAGAAATGTACTTTAGACAACCCGCAGATTTGGTTCTTGAGGTGGGTGGGGATTTACTTTTTTAATAAGCATAAAGCACAGATATGCACACAGTACCTAAGCCAGTGGAGAGCATACCTATGGAGGGGGATTAAGAAGAAAAGATCCAAAAAGCACCCAGCGTGGGGAGTAGTGTGAGGACAACAATGAAGAAAAGACTAAGAAACATTGCTGTGGACGACTCTTTTGCACAGCTCTTAAGACGTTGTTTTGAATATACTCGGTACTCAAAAAGTGTCTGTGGCATCCAGCCTCTCAGTGATACAATGGCTCAGGATTCTTGCATGGCGACTGTTAGGAAGGAACAAGGTTATAAAGCAGAAAAATTCCTTCTGACATCCCTCGAGGCATTCTGTGAAATGCCTTAAAATAATTACAGTTTTCTTCAGTCAATTATGGAAAGAAGAACAAAGTGGCCAGTCTTCCTTGTCCCCCTGAAGCTTCCAGATTTCATATGCAACTGATATTCACCGGCCGTCATAGTCTAGAGTTTCGTTTTTTAAAAGTATATTTTGCTTTCTGTTTGGAATAGATTTTCATCTTGACCAAAGGCATTTAACTGAAGCTAGTGAATATACAGACTGCTTTGTTATTACACATTAATATAGTGATATTTTTCAAAAACAACTTCATTCTCTAGTAGTAGTATGAATATTAAACAGTAATGCAAAGATATAAAATCTTAAATATACCTAGGCATAAAAATAGGCATCCCCGGGCACCTGCCATTCTTGTACACAGCGAGGCTTACTAACTGAAGCAGAACTGCTGCTACCCTTCAAGCTCTGCTGGCTATGACGGTTTTCTTGAAAACTATTGCTTTATGTTCAGTTCAACAGTTTCTCTTTTAGCACTTCTTATGTTCAAGGGACAAGGCTAAATATTTCAGGAATCCATAAATAATCATATAAGACATTTACCTTATTCAAGGAGCTAATTAAAACCATCAGCCTAAATATGAGCAACAGGAGAAGGAAATTTTTAACTCTAGATGGTCATTGGGACAGTGCTTTGCAACTCCGGTCAGGCCCCCTTTTAAAAACCCATATAGGGGAAGAGGCTCACTGTCCCACCTGTGACTTGATCAGTTTGGGGTAGGGACGTGGAATCTACATTTTATCAAGCTTACCTCTTGACTCTAAGATGCAGCCAGAGTTGAGAACCACCAGTCTAGGTCTGGGGAAAGGGCCAGAGTGTGCATGTGTGTGTAAGGTGTACAAGTAATCCTCACATACTGACACGAGGTTGAGAACCACCACTGTGCTCCAATCACAGTTAAAAGTACACACTGACTGAGAGATCCAGCTCTATCTCTTACCCTGAGACAGTGGCAGGTAATCAAATTATCTAAGTCTGGTTTTCTTGGCCTTAAAATGTGGACAGTATTAGCACCTACTCACCCTTAACACAGTGTCTGTCACAGACAGAGTGAAAAAGGAAAACAAAACCATGATGACCAGTGTTTAGAATCTTATATATTTAAAGATCTTTAAGTATAGTCACTCCTTTAAAGACCATATTGGCCAATTTTTCTCATCTATCAAATGAAAATGTTATTTTATTGTTGTAGAAAGAACTCTGTGAGAAAATACACACGAAGTGCCCAGATTTAACTTTGGGTATAATACAAGATTTCACCCAGAAGAGTTCAAAAGTTTCTTTGTTTTCCCTTCTATTTCTCTTTACTAAAAGCATAGGCCAATTAAAGAATAATTATCAAGAACTGATTAAGGGTAAAGTTAGGTGGCAGCTTTAAGATAACTCTCAACATGAATGAGAGTTGATACCTGCCCTCAAGAAAAATGGCAATACGATGAGCAAACTTGAAGAAGGAGACAGTTTAAAACCCCAGCACCAGAGTGGGATGGCTGGAGGATGGACCAGGTCACATTCATCGGCGTCCCCACTTCTGCAGCAGGATCAGACCTCCACTCAAGTCAGTGAATGGATGTGAGGATGCTTCATTTTAAGCAAATAGGACCCAGAATATTAAGATTTGTACAAACGATAAAAAGAATTTATTTCAAAAAATTCACTTTATATGTATATTTTCCATAGGATTAAAAAAATGCATTGCAATATTTTTCGACTTTATTTTATGGAGGTGGATATTATTATATCATGCTCATTTCATTGCTAAAGCCACCAAGGGTCATGTGGCACCAAGTTAAGTAAGTCTCCTGGAGTCAAACAGCAAATAAGTGGTGTTTGCAGACACCCTTATTATTAGTGCAATTAAGTGGGTTTGTGAGTTTTTAGTTCTATAATCATCACCACTGTCTAATTTTAGCACACTTACAAAAGACACCTCACATTATGACTCACTCCCCATTTCTCCTTTCTCTTAGTCCCCGGACAATTCTACTTTTTGTTTCTATTTTCATAGAATTTTAAAATCTAACTAATGTACTCATGTAATTAAAAAAAAGCTTGTAAAGCTTTTTAAGAACACATTGCTGTAGAGCTACCAATGGAATTATTTATTTTAACTTGGATAACTGATTTTAATACTTTAGAGTAAAAACTTAGATCCTTTAATGTTTCTTCTTGAACTTTATTCCTTAGAAATTATAATTGCTAACTGCAGCCTCTCTTACTTTGAATTCTCTTTGGCAAGAATTCAAAGTTTTATTTTTAAAAATGCAATTTTGAAGGGACAGAACTGAGCAGACAGTTTATACCTTTTGCATTTCTTTTGCTGAACTTAGGAAACTTCCTTATTTAATTCAAGATCAGGCACTTAGTGAAAAAGAAGATGTTTCAATGTGCTGCTCTGATGTAAGACATTCGGTATTTGCCTAGTGAGTTAGCTGATGTGTATATCCTGTTTCAGAAGTAGAATGTAAGCTCCCTAATGAGAGGGATCAGGGCACTCGTTCATTACTGCCTATCCGCACTGTTCACTGCATTGCGCTTTATATTTTATTATTGGTTCCAATTATAGGTATAACAATCAGAAAGAAAACCTAAATTTGTTTTCCAATTTGGGGAAAATGGTTAAGAATGTTCTCTTCTGCCTTCAAGTCACTTTGGCATTCATATTCAGTGTTCTATTTGCTACTTATTAGGGCACATAATGATCCTAGAAAGTCATATAAAAAGCACATTTCCCGTCCTATAAAAATTTATGAGCTTTCTACGCTGATGTCTCAAGATAAAGTCACAAATTCCAAGGCCGTATCTAGAAAGAACCTTAAAGACCATCTGGTCCAACCAGCTCTTACTTTATTGATCTGTAAGATAAGAAGTCATGACTTGCCTAAGCAAATTAGGAAAAGGCTGCTGTTCAGTCTTGTGTGCCATTGGTTTTATTAATGAATGTACCTGCTTGTCACTTTATAAAAATCCATTGTTTTCTGCAAGTATTCGGATTTACAGGAAAAGATAAATAAAGAGTGATGGTTTATTCAGAAATTATTCAAAGAATTCTTAATAGATGCGCCTAAACTGTACAATATCATTTTGTAAAGTTAGATTTATCTACAACTTTTCAGGAACATCTCATAAGGCATATCGGTACTGAAACCAAGTTGTTAGAAAACAAAGCCCACAGGAATATGTTTTAGGCTTTATAGACCCATCTTATTTAACCCTTCAAAACACTGGCAGGCTGGGAGAAGCATCATCCCCTTTTATAGATGAAATAGATGAGGGAGATGAGATACTTTAGTCAAGGGCTTACAAACTAGTAAAGAGAGGCTCCAGTTGTTTGCATATTCTGAAGTCATACAGCCTGAGGCAAGATTTCTTTTAATGGTATATTTAACACAAATATTATACTTTTATTCTCTGACCTTCATTTCCAGGGCTTACATGGTATCACTTTTTTATATTTTTAAATCAATTTCTAAACTGGCCTTACTTTGAAGTGTATCAGATTTACAACTGGATACAATTTTTATTTTTCATTTTCATCTCTTACTCCCAAGACAAATAACAGCTCTTTATCAACACTCTCTGCATAACAAACTTTCAAGCTCTGTAATAGCAAAAGTTAACCCAATGCAAAATTTACCTTAAGGTAAACCAGTTGCTTCAGAAAAGGCCACACACCAGGGGTATCAAATCAATGGCATCAAATAAAATACACTTCTAGTTGGCACCACATGACCAAAATCTTTGGGGTGCTCAAGTTCAAAACTAAGGGGGAGGTTGAAAAAAAAGCATTCGACTAGGAGGTTAGACATTTTGGATCCCATTTCTAGCTCTGTCACTTACAAGTAGTGCCACTAACTCCTTTGGATCTGTTTCATTTTCATCAAAACAGTGATTATAACTCCTGAGCTATCTCATGCATAGGATTGTTCAGATAGTCAATGGAGATACAGGTGGAGCATTCCTAATCCAAAAATCCAAATCCAAAATCCAAAATGCTCCCAAACCCAAAACTTTTTGAGCACCAACATGATGCCACAAGTGGAAAATTCCACACCTTTGCTTTCTAATGGTACAATGTACATAAACTTTGTTTCATTAATTATTAAAAATATTGTATAAGTTACTTTTGTTACTTTATATACAAAATGTATATAAAACATAAATGAATTCTGTGTTTAGACTTGGATTTCATCTCCAAATATCTCATTATGCATATGCGAATACTCCAGAATCTTAAAAAAGCCAAACTCTGAAACATTTCTGGTTCCAAGCATTTTGGATAGGGGATACTCAATCTGTAATGCATGGCTTCAAAAAGATGGAGCTAGAAAGCATAATAGGTGTCATTTTACAGCAGGAAGCCCGGACAGGCCAAGTGACTTGAAAAGGCCACACGGCCAGTCAGTGGATGAAACAGTCAAGACTCAAATTCATCAACACTTAACTTTTTAGTCCTTAGTCTTTTCCAGTTCACCTGTTGTCTCTTCTGTAATGACTTCTATCCACTGAATTTGCACATTTTTACTCAATATTATTTGCAAGCCACTTACACAAACTCAATCTAGTTTCCCTTTGGGAAAGTGTCACAGCCATTCCCAAATTAAAAAGTTACACTTGGAAATGCATGCTTCCCAGTTTAAAGACTATCATATCTTAAAACTGGAAGTGCTCTCTTGGGTCACTTGGACCAACCTTTTACATAAGAAAGAATCTGGGGAGGTGCCTGTGGCTCAGTGAGTAGGGCGCCAGCCCCATATACGGAGGGTGGCAGGTTCAAACCCAGACCCGGCCAAACTGCAACAAAAAATAGCCGGGAGTTGTGGCGGGCGCCTGTAGTCCCAGCTACGTGGGAGGCTGAGGCAGGAGAATCGCCTAAGCTCAGGAGTTGGAGGACAATAAAGTGAAACTCTGTCTCTTAAAAAAAAGAAAGAATCTGTTCTACCACATCACTGACATGTATGTCTGGGCAAAATACCCTAAATCATCTCTAAGGCCAATATAACAAATGCTATCCAGGATACTTGAATTCAAATGAAACTTTGTTTGCAGCATGTACAAAATCAGACTGCTTTGTTAAGTCAGAATGCTATGCTCAAATCAAGCATGTGCCATTAACAAGATCAAGAAAAGAGCTGGAGTTGGATGGGAGGGAAGAGAGACAGTGGTTTGATGGAGAAACCCTGGTATTCTCACTTAGCTCTCTGCCGACCTTGGGTCGGTCACGTGAAAAACTCTCCAGGCTTCAGTTCCCGGACTGTGGAGAAGGGGTGATGACAGCAACATCCTGAGTGTCCCTCTCACCCGGATGCTGTGAAACTGTTAGACCGGACGTCACACTGACAGTGCCCAGGGTGACGGAGCAGGGATCCCAGGCTGCCCAGACCCGACCGGGGGCTCGGGCCGACCCGCCCTAGACCGCCGCACGCGGGAGGATGGGGACGGAGGGTGGGCGCGGCGTCCCAGGGGATGGAGTGCCGGGACGCCCGGGGAGCCCAGGTCACTCACCGGGCCAGGAGCTCTAGGAAGATCACGTTACTGCAGCAGCCTGCAAATACCAGGCCCACCGCGAAGGCCGGGCGCATGGCTGGAGCAGGGGAAGGGGAAGGAGCGCGCAGAGGAAGCGCCCGCCTATACCGCTACCCCAGGAAGCCGGCCAGCTGCCCCGGTAGCGACCCAGAGCATCGCACCGTCCAGGAGCGCCGCTCTCCCGGGGGACCGCCGCAGTCCCCCTTTCCCCAGCGGCCGCCACAGACGCTGCCGGCTAAGGAGCTGTAGTTCGCAGCCAGCCCTGGCCCCATTCATCCGAGGGGGCGTCCGAGTCCCAGCTAGACTACATGTCCCAAGATGCCGCGCGCCTCTACGCCACGCGGTGACGCACTCGCCTCTGCCAGGCGGCTCCGCTACAGAGGCCAAGTGCCCGGCATGCCTCGCGTGATCAGCGGCCGCTGGGATTGCTGGGAAGCGAAGTCCCAACGCTGTCGATGTTTCTTCCGAAACCGCAGAGAGCTGGGAAAGGGGTTGGTCCACCGCGGTCACAGCAAACTCGAAGCTGGCGGCACTAGAGCTACTGACCTGTGACCACCGTGCCTTAGAGGGGTTGTAGCGTCTGAAATGATTCCCCTGAACCGAGGGAAAGTAGAAATTCCTCTGAGCTTACCTCTGTATCTCTAGAAAAGAATAGGGGGCTCGGGAGTTCTGAAGTTGAATCCGGGCTTATCAGAACCGCTATCTCAGGCAACTTCTCTTCCCTCAGGCTCCCAGTAGGTAAAGTCGGGAACAGTAATGCCTATCTCCTCAGGCTGTTGTGAGAGTTAAAAGGTATGGTCTACGAAAAGCCTAACATAGCAAGTTTATTGCTTTGCGTTATTATTGGTGAGGCACCCAGGACTCTAATTGACCCTGTTAGCAACTCTAGGCTAAGGACTTGTTTAATTCATTGTTGTAATGTGTCAACACCATGCTGGCTCAAGGTGGGTGCTCATTAAATATTGAATTTAACTGGTAGTAGACATTCTATTCATGTAGGTTCTTGTTTCTACTCACCTTCCTAAGGCAGTGGTTTTCAAATTCTATAATGCATTAGAATTACCTGAGTACTTGTTAAAAATACACATTTCTGCCTGTAGTCCCCGCTACTTGGAGATTGAGGCTCCTATTTGGAGTTGGAGATCAGCCTGGGCACCACAGCAAGACACAGTTTATTTAAAAAGAATGCACATACATACATAATACATACATGTTTCTAGAACACAAGGACTCTGATTTGGTAGGTCTGAAGTGAGACCCAATAATCTGCACTTATAACCAGCACTCAGATAATTCTGATATGCTTTTCTGCTACAAATTGGCAAAAATCATTTTGAAGTATGTTGTAGATACTGAGAAAGACTTCAGACTATTATGTCTCACAGGAAATAGCAAAAAAACAGTGTAGAATTCCCAAAACTCATGTATTTTGTTATTGATTTTGGATTCAATTGCAACCTAAATGTCTGATGTAGTAAAATACTGAGCAGTAATGCTAATAGTTAATACTGGGCACTGGGAAATAGGGAGTGTACACACGTTGCTTCTGTCCAAAAAGAGTTTTGCAGGTGGACAAGGAACACCACACCCGTATTTTACAAATAAAGAACAGTGCAGCATTATCCTGTGTGGCTGATATGTGCTTAACAAACATTTGTTGATCCAGTGAATAAGAATTACAGAGAACAGCTCAGCTTGTAAGTGCTGTGAGAATTCAGGTGGAAGATCTGATTGCTGATGTAGGCATTTTTTATTAGTTTTTGAAAAGTAAATTTATCTCAGGTTAATGAGAGGGTACAAACAACCAGGTCAAAATATTTGATTTTGTTAGGTAAGAGTCCCTCTTGTGGTCATGTGCCACACCCAAAAGGTGTGCCAAACATCCTCACCTAGTGCCCATTCAGTGAGAGCACCCCAATGATAACAGGTATTTTTGACAGAAGTGCCTGGATATTGCTATTTTTAAAAGTGCCCTTGGGGATTTGACTGTGCAGCTAAGGTTGAGAACCATTGAAATGAAGGAAGTATCTTACAGGGCTGGGATTGGGGACGGTATCAGTGGGTCACCTTTAAGGCTACACCTCAGCCCAATTAAATCAGAATTACTGGGAGTGTACATGGGTATCCTGTTTGTCTTTCAGCTTCTCTGACTTACTGATCACTGAGTTCTTTCAACGTTCTATCACTTGCTCCCTCCTACTATTGCACTGAACGCTTTCTTTTGTTGATTTCAACCTTGTAACTTCCACCACCATGGAAGTGTGCGGTGTCTCTGTGTGTGTGTGTGTGTGTGTGTGTGTGTGTGTACAGCTCCAATCTCTCTCATGTCCTTAATCAAAGTTTCCACTTACTTTGGAACTTCACTACTGCTTCCCTGTTAACCCCTCAAAATTAGTGCATACACATTGCATTATCTACCCTCCAACGGAGGTCTTTTTTTCTGTTAAAGACTGTCCACCATCTCTTCTTTTGGGGCAGAAATACCTGACAGATTTCGGTCTTTCTGGCCTTCCCACCAAACATTTATTTGCTCTTCACGTTCTGTCAGTTCTACCTGACAAGTAGCTCTAGTTTCCAGCCTCTCCTTTCCATTCCCATTGGCATCCACTTCTCCTGTAAAGCCCTCCTAGCATTTTGGTACCTTTGGCCTCTGACTTTGTCAATTTTCCATGCTACCCCCAGACTCATTGCCAAAATCTTCATGTCTGACTGCTATTTTAAGATGTCTGTTCCAATTATCTAGTAAGGAATAACAGACCACCTTAAAATGCAAGAATTCAGGCT